AAAAAACAAATGTTGACAAAATGTAAAATCAAAGCAATCAACATTTTTCTAAATAGAATTTTCCACACACATGTATTTCTTATATCTGTATTTATAAGTTACATAAAAACATAATACACGTGTTTGAAATTAAGTTCGGTTAGCTCTGAAGGGCATTTTGTTATAAATATCTATAGTTTCTAAAATTCTTACAATGTGATACGTAATAAAGTTGCATTTAAAGGGTTTTTAGAAAACTAAATTTTGATGGTTATTTTTTTTCTTATTATTTGTTATTTTTTCAACAAATCAATACAAGTATATCTGGCTTGATACAGATTTCTGAACATGGCCGCAAATTATATCAGTTTTGAAATCTTAAGAACTCGGCGTATCCTGAAAACGAACTCATACTGTTAAATTAAACAGGATAAAACACAGTAAGCCTTACATTTTGCTGCTATTTTCCAATCTAGTTTTAATTTACTATCCTGCCACTTGTTTTTTAGAAAAAACAGGGCACTTATATTTCCATGCATATGTAATTTTTCTTTTTTTTCTCTTTCTTTTTTCAAATATATCTTTATTGATTTCAAAGAGAGGACAGGAGAGGAAGAGAGAGATAGAAACATCAACAATGAAAGAGTCATTGATCGAGCCCACAACCTGGGCATGTGCCCTGACCGGGAATTGAACCCCGATCGCCTGGATCCTAGGTCGACGTTCAACCGCTGAGCTATGCCCGGTTGGGCTGTAATTTTTCTAATGACGAAATAAAGAACTGAAAGAGGGAGGGGGGAAAATGAGGTTAGAAGTCCTTTTTCAAATGTGCTAAGATAAACAAAAACTACATTCTTTTAGCAGTTCTATTTTTATTTAAAAAGTAACATTTTAAAAATTTAGTACAAAAATAATTTGTTGTCTTATTTTTGTTAGTTATCAAACATTTTATTCTTTTTCTATGGGTTATAAATCTTGGTTTAGAAGGTCATCTCTACATTGAGATTACTTCTGGAATTCTGCAGTGCCTTCTGTATCACGAGAGATTCATTCACTCTTTCTTGCATGCATTCACTCAGCCAGTCGCTTATTTACAAATATGTAAAGAGGGCTAATTGTTCTCACTATCACAGAACTTATATTTAGTGAGAGGAGGCAGGCTTTAAAAAAAACAGAATAACAGATAAGTCAGTGTGTTCATATGTAAGAACTTGATTAGTGTTATGGAAGAAGTAGAGTGAAGAGGGTCAGAAGTGCCAGGTGTCTGCAGCATGTTGTAAATTTATTCATATTTATATTTATTTTTAAAATATATCTTTATTGATTTCAGAGAGAGGAAGGGAGAGAGAGAGGGAGAGGGAGAGAGAGAGAGAGAAACATCAATGATGAGAGTCATTGATCTGCTGCCTCCTGCACGCCCCCTGCTGGGGATCGAGCCTGCGCCCTGACTGGGAATTGAACCATGATCTCCTGGATCCTAGGTAGATGCTCAACTGCTGAGTCACACCCTCCCAGGCTGTTGTCAATTTAAATCTCAATGAGCCTTTTTGAAAAAGGCCTATTTGATCAGGACACATTTGAATGAAAATTTGAGCATACACTCAAAGAGTATACATTATGCTGTGTTTAGGAATAACAATGATAAGAGGTTAGACAAATACTACAACTAATTTTTTATCCAACCGCTTAGGTTAAATGGTCAAGTGAAATGTTTTAGGTCATGATTTTAGATGATGAAAGTAATAGCTGTTTTTCTGGAAGGGGCAAATGAGTAATACAACCTTAATCAGATATATACTAGATATTGATATTTGGCAGTGGAGGAGTGGGCGGGGTGGATCTTCATTTGGCTATTTTTTGCTGACTTACCTTAGTTTGTGATTTCCACTTTCCCATTTCTCCTCCTCGCATGAAACCAAATTCCCTGACTTCTGATCAGTTCATTGCTCGTTATAGAGGCCTTTATCAAAGATATCTTCAGCATTTTTGGCAGGCTGACTTTTAATAGTAAAAGCCATTCAAGAACATAACTTCAGTTTTATAAAAAACAATACAATACTCTTTCTAAAGGAAGTTTCTTATTTCCACCAAATCCAGGTGTATGAGACAACTCCTGCAAAGTCCTGCACAGGGCAAACTCCTTTTGCACATTGCATATGTTGACGGAGGGCTGCCTCCCAAGACCATGACCGTTTAGTGGCACCCCTTTCTCTTCCGATGCGGCAAATGCTGTCCCTTACAGCAGCCTGGAAGCTATCAATGTGATATGCTATTTATGATCATTACTCTTTCTTTTTTTCTTTTTTTCATTTAAGACAGGGAATACTTTACTCAAACCCATCAGAGAACAGGTTGGACCTGTAACAAAGTGCCGTGTTTTAAAGCATAGACCAGTAATTGTATATAAGTGTATATGCTGGTGCATACATATTAACTGATAAGACCACAACTTTTTGATGTTTGAAACAGAGTAAGCTTCGCTGTAAAAGCAGCACTGTGTGACATTTTAGCTTTAGTATTCCCCTCCTCCTTCCTCACCCTCTCCTTCAACAGAATCCACACCAACCTTCTCATCATTCTTTTCAAGGGCATCCATGTCCCCATGGCCTCAGAAAACTCTCCTTCCTCCATGCCCTCACCCATGTACTCGTGGACAAAGGCACACTTGGCATACATCAGATTATACTTGTGGTCCAGGGGAGCCCAGACCTCAGCAACAGCTGTAGTGTTGCTCAGCAGGTACACAGCTCACTGTACTTTGGCCAGGTGTCCGCCAGCTATCACAATGGAAGTCTGGTAATTAGTGCCAACTTTGGGGCACCAGTCCACACACTGATGGTACACTTGGTCTTGACGGTGGCAGTGGCAGCATTGCCATCTGTGGGAACCACATCCCCACAGTGCAACAGGCAGCAAACAGTGTATTTACTGTGGTGAGGGTCACATTTCAGCATCAGGTTGGCTGGCTCAAAGAGCATGTATTGGTGATCTCTGCTACAGTAAGCTCTTCATGGTAGACTTTCTCCACAGGGATGACAAGGGCATATGTGGCCAGAAGGAAGTAGATGTGAGGATAGAATACCAGGTTGGGCTGGAACTTGGTCAGATCAACATTCAGGGCTCTATTAACTCAGAGGGAAACAAAGATGGAGAACACAATTTTACCTATCAACCTATTCAAGCTGGTATCGGTAGCTCACTCAATCCCAAGGTTTCTGTGATGGATGTCGTAGGTGGCCTCATTGTCAACCATGAAGGCACAATCAGGGTGCTCAAGGGCGGCGTGGGTGAAGATGGAGTTGTAGGGTCCAACTACAGCTGTGGAAACCTAGGGGGCTGGATAAAAGGAGAACTCCAGCTTGGACTTCTTGCCATAATCAACAGAGAAACGTTCCATTAGCAGAGAAGTGAACAAAGAACCAGTTCCCATGCCAAAACTGGAAAACCAAGAAGCCCTGAAGACCTGTGCTCTGGTCAGTTTCTGAATTCGGTCCAAGACGAGGTTGATGGTTTCATTACCAATGGTGTAGTGCCAGCAGGCATAGTTATTGGCAGCATCTTCCTTACCTGTGATGAGCTGCTCAGGTTGGAAGAGCTGGCAGTAGGTACCAGTGCAAACTTCATCAATGACTGTGGGTTCCAGGTCTACAAACACTGTCCTGGGCTCATGGTTGCCAGAGCCTCTCACTGAAGAAGGTGTTGAAGGAGTTGTCTCCTCCCCCACCCCAGTGGTCTTGTAACTTGCATCTGGTCTTCAGGCTGGATGCCATGTTTCAGGCAGTAGAACTCCCAGCAGGCATTGCTGATTGGGCACCAGCCTGGCCAACGTGGGTGGAAATTCACTCATGCATGGTTGCTGCTTTGTGGGGAGCAGATGGCGGGAAGGTTGTTGCTTCTTACAGTGAAACCTCAGTTCTTGAACTTAATTCATTCTGGAAGGCTGTTCGGGAAGTGATCTGTTTGAAAACTGAGTCATTTTTCCCATTAGAAATAATGTAAATTGGATTAACCTACTCCAGACCTGTAAATGATTCCCTGTTTTAACCTTTCTTATATCAGGGGTGCAGCATCTTTGGTTTTTCACATATCATTGCCTCTGAAATGCTGTCACTGACTGACTGCTCTTCTTTATCCAAATCAGCAACAGTTTTTCTATCTCTTCAGTTGCCAGTGATGATTGTTTTGTGAGCACTTTAACACTCTTAGCAACATCAGCACACTTGGTGGCCTCCTTATATTTTTAAAATTGTGTTAATTGTCTACTTCACTAGCAACAAAAACAAAAGAAAACAAAAAGCCAAATCAAAACAAAAATATTCACAGCACAATATCCTGAGATGTTAGCAACTGGAGGTTTAGGGGTAAACTGATTCGAACTCTCTTCTTTGCTTGTAGCCTGAGAGACTTTTTGTCATGCTGATGTATCAGCATGAATGGGTTGTCAGATCAAGAGCTGAAGTTTGTTTGAAAACAGACATTTTTCTGTGAGCAATTTGGTCGAGAACCAAATTGTTCGAGATGGGAGACACTCAGGAACCAAGGTTCCTGACTGCACAGCACAACACTTAGACGGTGGATGAGAGAACCTTTTAGCGATTTCTTTTTTTTTTTGGTAATAAGTTGGGACCCTTTTCAGATATATTAAAAAAGCATGTGTTGCCTGGCCAGTGTTGCTCAATGGTTGAGCCTCAACCCATGCACCAAGAGGTCACTGGTTTGATTCCTGGTCAGGGCACAAGCCTGGGTTTGGGGCTCAGTCCTCAGTAGGGGGCATGAAGGAAACAACCAAATGATGTTTCTCTGTCATCGATGTTTCTGTCTCTCTCTCCCTTCCTCTCTTTCTAAAAATCAGTTAAAAAATAATAATAAAGCATGTGTGCCCCGGCTGGATGGCTCAGTTGGTTGCAGCGATTCCCGGTCAGGGCACAGAACTAGGTTTCAGGTTTGATCCCTGGCAGGGGCACGTATGGGAGGCAGCCAATTGATGTTTCTCACTCACATCAATGTTTCTCTCTCTCACCCTCTCTCTAAAAATCAATAAATGTATCCTTGGGTGAGAATTTTAAAAAAGCATGTGTTGCAGATCATCTAGCCAATTAAAAAGGCCCCAAAAAAACTGGCTTGTTGGTCCATGTCAACCAATTGCACATTAGTTACAGATACAAAAATTCTGTCATTTTCTTGAAGCTCAAATACTCCACCTTGATAGATGGAATAGAGTCCATATTGTTCATCTTCAGACCAACAACTATTTCTAGCACTTTTCATCAGCAGTATAGGGTCAGGATAGGCTGTGACTTTGTAAATATATTGCACCATTTGTTTGTTTTTCCTTCTGTTCTTTACTTTTGAAACATCCTCAGGTTCCAGAAATCGAAAGTATGTCTGGGAATAGATATAATAGAACCCTGTTTGATGGATAACTAACTCTCCTTTCCTCAGGTGCAAATTATTCAAAAATGAATATCCTTTTCTTGATGACTCCCAGGAGGTTATTTTATGGCCCCAAATGTTTTCATTCTTGGAGTCTGGAGGAAGGTTAGAGAGAAAGAAAGTTAACAAAAGGGAGTTTGTAGCAAAGCAAGGTGTTTCCAACAGCTGTTGCTAGCCTATTTTTTGGTTGGTATTGCAAAGGATTTCAATACATAAGTTATTTCAAACATAAATCTTCTTACTCCTCTCATCTTACAAGGATTCTAAATTCTGTACATAGAGAAATCTGAAGGCTTCTGCATTATTGGGACCTGTTGGGAGGGCCTTATTTTTCTGTATTTTGTCTGTATTTTTCTGTATTATGCCACATCTGCCACACTTATCTCTGAATGGTAGCACAGGGGATGGTTCACTCAGATGGCAATCTTTACTCCTGGGCAGAACTCCTGTCCTGAATCCCTGTCCTGTGCTGGTGAACTCATATGAACAGCATGTAGGGAAACCAAAGGGAACATATCTAGTTCCTTAAGCCTAGAACTCAGAACTTCTTGCAGTTCCTTTGGATCTGTTTGGATTCCCTCCTTGGTCTTTTCAGCAGTCAAAGGCGCCATCCAAACAGAAGGCATCTCTAGTCCACAATAAGACAGAGCTCAGGTTTGGCAATGAGATCCCAGATTTAAAGATCTTCAGATCCTTGATCTTTAAGTCCCAGAGACTGAATTTAAAAAGGGTTCTACAAAATACGACAGTCCTTTAAACTTTGGGCTCATCTCCATGATTTAAATAAAATTTAGTTTTTCAAGAGTTTAAAATAACTACCATGTTGGTTGATGAGTAGCGAATAGTAATATTATAATCTCACTCATAAGCATAACATGTTAATCACTTATAAAACATGAGCTCAGGAATATGACGAAGGCAACTGCCTAGAACAAACCCAAACAGGAAACAAACACTCAAAATACCCCAATAATGCTTTCATCCATTAACTTCCTAAAATTTCTTTAACTTGGGACAGAACCTTTCACAACAATAAAAGTGACTACTTAGTGAGTACTTACAGTACACCAGGCATTTTGCATGTGTTAATCTTTACCGTTTTATGAGTTAAAGATTATCTCTACTTTGCATAAAGATGATCTCTATTTTGTATAAGAAACTGAAACTTGATTTGGTTAAGTAATTTACTCAAAACGTGTGTCCAGGTAAAGAGGAGCTGGGATCCCAGCATGGGTATTTAGACTAGAAGACCCATGCACTTAACTACAGCACTCTGGGCACCTGCTCTACAGTTAAAAATTGGGTTTGACCCATGTGAAACTGACACATCTGTGAGTTAAAAATGGTCCAATATTCGTCACTTTCTGTGGTTCAGCCTAATGTAAAGGTCACAAGAATGCTCAGTAACTCATGGTGAAAGTAAATGACTGATTCAGAACTTTGAGGAGGAAGATTTGATAAAAGTGAGTAAAAGAAATTACTTTAAAGAAGGAAAAAAAGCAAAACTGGGGGCATGGGAAACTCAAAGTTCTCCCACCACTTTATCATTTTCCCGAGGCCCATCATGCCAAGGCAGTGACTGAGCTATTTGTCTCAGAACCTTGCTTCTGAAAAGAGTCAGTCTGAGGCCTGATTAGTGCTGAGCATTTTGTAGATCGCTATATACACATTTCGGGTACAAGTTAAAAGAATAAATTATTTGGACGAAATTCCTCCATTGCCCTCCTTTAAACCGTATATTTGGTGTTTCTCTTACTTGGAACTGGGAATGTGGATGCGCTCCGAGTGGTCCCGGTTATGTGAGCTGCTACTCTCTGAAGCCCCTTTCCTGCTACTAGTGGAGGACCGCTTTGTTGCTTTTCTAAAACAGAAGGGAAAAAATGATCAGCACTTGTCCAACTGCCTCTCAGAGACATTGCTATTCACAGCTGTTGTCAATCGGGCACTGTGAGCGCACTGGGCTTCCAATGTTGACCATGTGGATTTTCATAAAAGCAGCCTACATTTTAGTACAATAATCAGTCTACTTCAATTTATGTTTAATTTAAAAAGTACTTTAGATGGGAAGAATAAGCAGTAACTCGGGTTATAATTTATCAGCATCTCAGTAGCAACTAGGGAGAATATAGCCTTTTCCCAAAAGATCCAAACAAACAAACAAAAACTGAACCTTCAGTAATCTTGCTAAGTCATTTAAAGTGCACCGATAACCAGGTATTGGCAAATTCCCATTTTCAGTTATATATAGAATGATACCAATTTCATAATCTCTGTTTTTTCCTCTCTGCTAGCTACTAGTGATTCTAAAGGAGTAGGCAGTGATAACAATTGTCCATAGATGCTACAAGCCGGCATCCAAGTCATTCCCCACCACCTCCCAAAAGGAACATGAACTGACATACTGATCACGAGAATCAGCACAGGGGCATATAAGTCGCCAATTCACTACATCATAACAAACAAATAACTTACTGACCACCATCCAAGTACTTTGGAGCAGCGTTAAAAAATACAGATTCTGCCCAGCTGGGCATGGCTCAGCGGTTGAGCGTCGACCTAGGATCCAGGCGATCGGGGTTCAATTCCCGGTCAGGGCACATGCCTGGTTGCGGGCTTGATCAATGACTCTCTCATCATTGATGTTTCTATCTCTCTCTCCCTCTCCTTTCCTCTCTCTGAAATCAATAAAGATATATTATAAAAAAAAAAAAAATACAGATTCAACAAACTACTCTTTTAAAAAATCAGTTCAAACTTCCCAAGTGCCCTTACATTGGTTTTTAAAAATATTACTATTTCCAACTGGCTCCCAGGAATGAAACTTGCAAATATGTATATTTCAGTGTCATGGATACATCTTGGTATTCTGAGACGTACATGATTTCTGCACCTTATTGGGATGAGTACAAAAGAACATTTTTCTTCCAGCACTGAACATAGTACATGCATCTACTGTGGACTGTGGACTGAGGCACCAGCCTGCCTCATCAGAAGAGGTGGGGAAATGATCAGATGCTTGGACCCTGGGACAGGTCTCGTCTTCTCTGCCAGGTTGTGTGCCCCAAGACTGTAAGGCTCCAGTATATGTACTCAGGCCTGCATGGCCATTAGTATGGGAAAATGGGGCTATAGTGAGCCAAATGCAAAAAAGTAGTAAATTTAATTCAGTAATTTTATTTATGTATTTATTCAATTAAAAAAAAATCTGGATCAGGAACCTTCTAAGTGTTGTGGTGTGTTGGCACAACATTGTAAATGCACTCACTACCACTGAATTGTGCTCTTTAAATGGTTAATTGTTTGTTATGTGACTTTCATGTCAATCAAAATACACACACACACACACACACACTGAAGATGGTATAGGAAAGGGTGGGGGATCAACTAGGTTTGAGGCACAGGTTTAGGTGCTAGGTATAGGGAGAAACAGACATGTTTTCTGGCTTTGTGGATCTCTGGCCTACTAAGGAATCAGACAGCACACAGATAAAAATATATAAAAACAAAAGGAAATGAACAAAGTATGTGTGATAGAAATAACAGGATGTGGGGGAACTTATGTAGGAGGGTGGCCAAGGAAGTTCTGACAGTTAGGTGGTGAGGATGGAGGAGGAGAAGGGGCCAGTTACGGCAAAGGCCAGACACAAAAGAAGCCAGATGGAAGACCAAAGAAGCCAGCCTCGGCAACGGCACTGAAGGGGGCGTGGGTCAAGAGCAGGCTGCTGGTAATAAACAGGAAGATGCTCTGGCATGGGGACCATAGGATGAAAATTGTGGGTGGGTATAAGGCTTGTTGGGAAAGGGATGATGGAGAGAGGGGTTTCTGCATAAAGAAAGGATAGAGCCTGTGGTGGTCAGAGGCAGAGGAGACAGGTAACTCAGGGACCCTGATTTACCTTACTTTCAGCCATCCTCTAGAAAGGATTTAGATGGCTTATTTACAAACATTAGAAGGTAAAAAAATAAATAACAAAATTGAGGTGAAAGGAAAATCTATGTTAGAAAAATAAGACTCAACTGAAAAAAGGTCGGGCCACAGATTTGGTTCTTAGCTTTCTAGCGACCAATGCAAAAAGGGAAACAGAATCAAGTAGCTTGAAACTCTGAGCCACAGGTCAGAGGCAAGATGTGTGAAGGAGCAGAAAGAAAGGGGATGGGGAGTCCTTCACCCTGCCATGAAGTGGAGACTAGAAAGTTAAAATAACAAAAAAACAAAAAAATATACCTGGATCTGGAGAAATGGTTTCCTCATAGGTTCTCAAACTTATCTGCAAATAGTATTGAATAAAGCTTGTTAATTTTCCTAAAAATTTTAAACGGACTATGGAATGTCTATGGCCCTTTTTGCTGATGTCTAACAGGAAGTTTCTATGTAAGAGATCAACCTCGGAAGTTGGGGTGAACACTGAAGCAGCCACCCCCAGGCGGTGATCACAGAATGGTCCCCTGTGTGGGAAAGTTCTGTTTCTGGATAAAGTCTTTGAAGGTCCACTCCTGGAGCAGCATAGAAGGAAGGAGCTATGGGCCACGTGAGGCCAGACTAATCCTCCCCAGACCTCCTTGTGGCTGATGGATGTGGCAGATATGTCACCTCATTTCTTCTGTGGTGTGTGTGTAAGTGCTCTGTGTAATAGAGTCCAGGGCTTTAAATTACTGGACAGACCCATATGTGAGGCGCGCTTCCTTTCTCTCAATGCCCCAGACATACACAAACATGGCCACACCATGTCATTCTCTCATTTCTGAGAATGTGGTTGAAACATTCTTAACATAAAGATATTTTACCAAGTTCTCATATCTTTACTAAAAATCTAGCATCTCCTCTTTCTACTAACCAGTAGAAAAAAACAGAAAGAATAAAAACTGAGCCTTTCTGTTAACTAAACAGACCTTGTCTTGGCTCATTCACAGCTTCTAAATTCCCCTCCATTCCATGCCGTCAGCCCCTGGCAGGGTATTGCCTCTCAC